TTGTCTTTCTTCTTCTTCTTTGTCTTTTTGAAATCTCCGTCTCTCTTTTTTCTTGTTGTTTTTCTTTTTTTGTCTTCTTTATCTGTCTTTTTCTTTCCTTATTTGTCTTTTTTTCTTCTTCTCGTTTGTCTTGTTTTTTTATCTTTTTTCTTCGTCTTTTTTTCTTGTTCTTTGTCTTTTTTCTTCTTCGTCTTTTTTCTTCTTGTTCATCTTGTTCTTTTTTTCTTTTTTCTTCTCTTCATTTTTTTCTTCTTCGCCTTTTCTTATTATTATTCCTCCTCCTTTTTTTCTTCTTATTCTTCTTTTTCCTTTCATTTAGATCTTAGAAGAAGGAGTCGCCATCTTGGGATCTCAGTTAATGGGTCAATTATTGTAATTATTCGGGTTATTATTCTAATTATGACATTCGTATTGCCATTATTGTTATCATGAGTATGCCTTGTGTGATTATGAGTATTATCTTTAATATTATGAGTATTATGTATCATGTTATGAGTGTGATTAGTATTTTAATTATGGGTATGATTGGTGTTTTACAATTATGGGTATGATTGGTATTTAATTATGGGTATGATTGGTATATCAATTATGAGTATGATTGGTATTTTAATTATGGGTATGATCGGTTTTTTTAATTATTGGTATGACTGGTATCTTAATTATGAGTATGACTGGTATTTTAATTATGGGTATCGTTCATATTTTTTTTATGTTTCATTTGTATTGTTATTATTTGTTGTTATTCTTGTTATGGTGTTTGTAAGTCATTTTGTTGTGTTGTCAATTATGATTATTTTTCGGATCTATGTTACCATGGTTATCATTTTTATTGTTGTTGTTATGATGTTTATGTCATGTTGTTGTTGTAAATTATGTCGTTTTTTTTGTATTATTATCAGCATTATCATAAGTATCATTTGTGTTATTATAATCGTTGATATTATTATCTTTGTTATCATATTTGTTGTTGTTTTTCTCGTGTTATTTTATTATATTTTTAAGATTCATTTATAATTTTTTGCATATTTTATCCTGATTGCGTTTATTGATACTTACCTAACAATAGGATATCATAAGAATGACATGAACGAAAAGCAAAAGAAAACGGAGGACAACGAAAGAAAACGGGAAACGACGAAAGAAAACGGGAAACGAAAGAAAACGGAAAACGTCCAATTGCTCATTTCAAGATGGCCGCCCGACGGATTAACTAAAACTTGGCCGTCGGATATTAGATTAGCTCCGTCCTCCCTTCAGGAAGTAGGGGCGACGTCAACTTTAGCCACTTGTTTCGCACACACGCACATACGCACATGCACACGCACACGCACAAATACACGCGGGGAGACGCTCACGGACTTGCTCACACTCGCAAAGCATACGCACACATAAACAAATAGACAAATGCACATTTATGTACATATGTGGGCATATGTCTGTGTCAATGTGTATGTGTGTGTGTGTGTGT